ACCACAAGTACATTCAATTCAAGTGCGAATTTAAACACTCTCCGCAGATAACTGTTTATAGAAACCCCCGGAACACAAACTGGGAAAAGTTAAAAAAAACAGTTACTTCGAAGCTCGCGACTCGCCCGGGCACAGTGAAATCCCCGGAAGACATAGAAACGTCCCTAGAGACCCTGTCCAAGGAACTACTGGATGCGTACCACGCATCATGTCCACCCTCGAGAACGAAAAATAGGACCAAAGCACTCTGGTGGAACCGGGACTTATCGCTTCAAAGAAACAACCTCAAAGAATTCTTCAAAATCGCCAAACAGGCGAACGAGGAGATAATCAATGAGGAATACAAAATCCTACTCAGGGAGTACAAGAAGGAAATACGCAGGGCACAAAGAAACTCGTGGAGGAACTTCTGCTCCAATATCGAGAAAGTCCCAGAAACGGCTAGACTTCGAAAGCTGCTATCAAAGCAACCTACCATACAGAGTCAGCTGAAGCGAGAAGATGGACAGTGGACTGAGGGCAGTGAAGAAGCCCTAACAGGATGCACCGAGGTTGCTGACGCTACAACGCATCAGGACCTAGTAACTGAGGAAGACAGGTCCCCCAACAGGTCTCATATCGTCTAAGCAAATCCACTGGGCTATAGACTCCTTTGCGGGTACAAAAGCACCTGGACTAGACGGTATATTCCCAGCCATGCTACAGGTGACCAAAGACGTGATCACCCCATGGCTCTCTGCAATATACTCAGCTTACCTGAGCACAGGCTATATCCCTATCCAATGGAGGACCTCGAGGATTGTCTTCCTTCCAAAGGCAGGAAAGTGCAGCCATATGAGCCCCAAGGATTATAGACCGATAAGCCTTACATCCTTTCTACTCAAAACACTGGAAAAGCTGCTGGATCTACACATCAGGAATGATGTAGGGAGACTGATGTCAACCAACCAGCATGCCTACACCAAAGGGAAATCGGTAGAGACGGCACTGCACTCGCTAGTAGCCACCATCGAGAGAGCCCTCCATAATAAAAAGTATGCTCTAGGAGTGTTCGTAGACATATCCGGAGCATTCAATAACGTCACTACGAACGCTATTATGGACCGCCTAGAAGCGACCAACACACATCCCGCAATCAACCTCTGGATAAAGAACCTTCTAAGTTGCAGACGGGTGAATCAGAGTGGGGCACCGCTTCCATGGTGAGGGCGGCGCATAGAGGCACACCACAAGGTGGGGTCCTGTCGCCCCTCCTGTGGAACCTGGTGGTCGACGACTTAATAAAGAGATTCGAGAGGAGAGCCCCAAAAATAACAGCCTATGCAGATGACATAAGCATAATTATTACGGGAGTATGTCCATCGACCCTCAGCTCCATAATGGCATCAACACTCAGGGAGATATGTGAGTGGGCAGGAAAAGTAGGACTCAGTATCAACGCGGACAAGACGGACCTCATCCTCTTTACCAAGAGATACAAGGTAAACCAGGCTGACCCCGAGAGCACAAGTCAAATACCTCGGCATAGTACTGGATAGCAAGCTGGCATGGAGGCCCAATGTAGTGGAAAGGGTGAAGAAGGCCACCATTGCGCTATACGCATCCAAGCAGCACATGGGGCCTGTCACCTGCTCTAATGCACTGGATCTACATCTCGGTGGTGCGACCGACTCATGGGGCCCGACGATTGGAAAAGGGGTCGGGACCAGACTCAACACCTCAACATCTACACTGACGGCTCCAAGATGGAAGGAGGAGTAGGAGCAGGCATATACTGTACAGACCCTGAGATAAGGCTGTCCTATAAGCTACCGGACCAATGCAGCATATTCCAGGCGGAAGTCTTCGCCATACGGAAAGCGGCAGAGGCTGCTCAGTCTACGGATCGTCCACACGACGTGATCAACCTGTTCGTGGACAGCCAGGCGGCGATAAGATCCATGCAGTCGTCGGCGGTCAGTTCCAGAAATGTCTTGGCAAGCAGGGAGGCACTAGATACCCTAAGCACGACAAAGTCAGTGCGGATCTACTGGGTTCCCAGCCACCAAGGCATCGATGGCAACGAGATGGCGGACGGTCTGGCTAAGGACGGCGTCGGGCTGGAAAACGACAGAACTGAGAACGTGCCTGTCTCCCTTAGAACGCTCCAAAGCGATTTAGAGAAACGGGCCGACACACAGGCAAGAAGCAGGTGGAGCAGAACCACCACCTGCAGAACCTCAAAAACCATGTGCAAGGAGCGCAACAGGAAACTCAGCCACTACATACTGCACCTCCCACGGAAGGACTGCAGAATGTTGGTGGGAATACTCACAGGTCACTGTCTGGCCGCGGCACATGCTGTCAAACTAGGCATCACCAGCAGTGGCCACTGCAGGAAATGCGAGGAATCCGGGTCAACTGAAACCCTGGAACATCTCATCTGCAACTGCCCGGCTCTCTCAAGGGCTAGGAGAATATACCTGGGCACCCCGGTACTGGCATCACTGGAAGATGCCTCCAAGAGGACGCCAGGGGAACTGCTAGCCTTTGCCAAAAACACCTCGATCCTTAAGGACTTCAAAACCTCATAAATACTTTCGAAACGTTCATACACTCCCATCCGGACAACTAAGGGCCATATTGGCCTATGCGTGGCCCCGTGAAGGCCGTCTGGGTTAACCTAACCTAACCTAACCTAACGCTCAATGCTATAAAAATTACCTATCTCGATGCAGGATACGATTTTCACAGGACCCTAAACAGTTTTACAGCTTCTTAAAAAGTAAGCGTAGAACGTCCGCACATCCATTCTCGCTATCAATGATCAGGCAATTGCCGATCTTTTTGCCACATTTTTCCAAACAACCTATTCTCATGAAAGCTACTCTGGTCGGCAGTATACATACAGTTTACCAAGGTCGAATTGCATTTTCAGCCCCTTGTTAAATGAAAGCTCGCTGCTTCATGATCTTCGACTAGTTAAGCCGGTGTTTTCACCAGGTCCCGACGGAGATCCCGGCTGCGTACTCAGGTACTGTGCCGACACTATGTGTGGACCCCTGCTTAAACAATTCACCCTATCCATTAACACTTCATGCTTCCTTCATGGATTTCTAGCTACCTTCGTTCTAGATCGCAAGAGTCCTCTTCAAAAACTCCTTCTCTTTACCTATTAAGGTTACTTCTGGAGTACCACAGGGCAGCCATCTTTTCACACTTTTTATTAATGACCTGACTTCAGTATTCTCTTGAGAGAATTACTTTGGTTGATGATCTTGGTGTTAGACTAGACCCAAAGTTAAAGTTTTCTGAACACATTTCTACCGTGGTAAATAAGGCCATAGTGCTTGGGTTTATAAACAGGTGGTCAACAGAATTTGATGACCACTAATATATCGAAGACTCTCTATATCTAGCTTGTTCGATTTTAGAGTACGGTTCTTGTGTATGGTTCCCCCAGTACAAAGTACACCAGGACCCTATAGAATCAGTCCAGAAAAACTTTTTAATTTTTGCTCTGCGTGGCCTTAACTGGGATGCAGGTGTCAGACTGACATCTTACTCTCGTAGATTGCTTTTAATTAACCTTTACAACTTAGTTAGTCGTAGAAAAATGCTTGGTGTGATTTTTATGCACAACCTGATCAAGGGTGACATAGATGCGGCAGCGTCCGTCGGTCTGTTGGGCGGTAGGAGAGACTGCTTTTCTGCCTTGGCTGCGCGCTTCATAGGCTTCGGCTTGGTGTCTTATGGGCCACTTGATGGTGCAGTCATTGCATATCAACGTACAGACAAGTCAAATGATTGATAGATTGATTACACTACTCGACAAAATCCAACTTTTTTTTTTCCTTAAGGATCCAAACCAACCTTTTCTGATAGATATGGGACTTTAAATTTTTTTAAAGAATTATGGTTTTTTTTCTAAAACAGAACTTTTTAAGAATTTTTGAATTCTGGTATTTTTTTGTATAGCTTTTCTAAGAGGTAGGGCTTCTTTTTTTCCCATAACTCTAGTATCTTACTTCTGTTTGTAAAGAACTTTGCTATTTTGAAAAGATAATTAAAACAGCTACACGGCAAGCCCAAACACTTTGTGATTTTAGCTTACCGTCTGGGAAATAAAAAGCATTGAAATGCAAAAATTATAATTATAATTATAAAATTATAATTTTTGTGTGCTATTTTTACCGAAATTTTGACTTTAACTCAAGAAAAGTCGAAAAAAAAATTATATTCTGTGTTCTTTATTTTTTTGTGTATAGGTGCATTAATTAGGCGTCCTTTAAGGTATCGCTCATTAAAATCTATGGAGAAACTTTGGAGCTAAAATTCGTTACCCAAAAATAAAAAATGGAAAATATTAAAAAAAAAATACCTTTTTGAAGGTTGCGGGCCCAATTGGCAAAAAGTCAAAATTTCGTAAAAAAAATACCGCACATAAGTTTTGCACTTCAATGCTTCATATATCCCAGACGGTAAGTTGAAATCAAAAAGTGTTTGGGCTTGGCTTCTAGCTGCTTTAATTATCTTTTAAAATTGCAAAGTTCTTTACAACCAGACGTAAGATACTAGAGTTACGTGAAAAAGAAGCGCTACCTCTGAAAAAAGCTTTAAAAAAATACCAAATTTCAAAAATAAAAAAAGTTCTGCCATATAAAAAAAAATTGTTATCAAACCATTTCTAAGCCCTAAGTCTTTAAGAAAAAGTTGGTTTTGTTCCTTAAGGAAAACTCGTGTGAAGTAGTGCTATTTAAATTGTTTTTTAAAGGATTTTTTTGTAGATTATTTCTATGGTTGCTATCCCGAGCTTTAACAAAATTAAGAAATTGGAATCAAACATTACCCATGCTTTCTAAAGGAAGCCCAATCAAACAAGGGTGGGTTTTTGATGTATGAAAATGTGTTTTATAAAGCTTAGCCAGATTAATGACTACATTAATATCTGTAATTTTCCATTGCAAAGATGGATATGCAAGGGATATCTTTCCAGTTTAAATTTATTCAAATCAACTTACCATACTATTCCTTGGGCACCAGATCCTATGGGCCTTAGGTTAATGTAGCGACTATGAATTGTAAAATTAGTATCGCCCACTTCTACAGTATAGTGTTGGTGTTGAGCTGCCATTTTATATTGCATATATATATACGAATATACAGATGTAATTCCTTTCAATATTAATTAATGACCAAATCAGCCTGAAAAAAAGGACTGAATTTTATAATATGATTACATTTGTTTAAAAGTTGAAAATCGAATCCAAAAATTCCGAATTATCGATATTTTTATATCAATTTTGATTTCCAAAAATTAATTATGATTTTTTTTCCAGCCAAAAATAAGCTATTCACTTTTTATACCCGTACTCAAAAAATAGTTAAGGGGTATATTGTATTTGTGGACTTTAGATAGAAAATTGAAATAGAAAATTTGTGGATGTGTTCAACGCAGAGAAGGAAACGTTTCCGACCCCATAAAGTATATATATTCTTGATCAGCATCAATTGCCGAATCGATATATCCATGTCCGTCTGTCCGTCCGTCTGTCTGTCCGTCCGTCTGTCCGTCCATCCTTCTGTCCGTCTCGATGAGCGCCTAGAGCTCAGAGACTATAATAGCTAAAGCAACCAAATTTTGTTTTCAGACTCATGTGATATCACACTGCCACAAGTGTATTTACAAATTTCGCCCCGCCCCCTTCCGCCAACACAAAGGACGAACATCTGTGGCAGGCACAATTTTAAAGATACGATAAAACTAAAAGCGCAGTATCGTAGAGAATGACCATATCTACCAGATTGCCGAATGAAGAAATTAATTTTCAGTTGCTTCCCCCGCCTCATACAGCCAGAGACCCGCTACTCACTCTCTTTCTCGCTCGCACACTCTAGCGGATATGTAGAATCTAAATGGTACATGTATAATCTACATGTTAGATGTAGAATATACATTGTAGATGTGGATAACAGATGTAGCAAACAAAATTTAAACTCTAACTTTTTTTTTTAAATTTTACATAAATAATAAGCTCAAAATTTTATATACTCAGTACGGGTATAAGTAGAGTCGCGTCCCCAGAGGCGACTCACACGTTCCTTCTCGTTTTTTCATTATTTTACAGTTCTTTTAACAGTTATTATGTTAAAGTTAAAAAAAAAAATTCAATTTTGACTGAGCTTTTCTGATACGACTGTTGACATAATCGTAAAAGGATTTTGTATTTATATTAAACAGCCGAGTCAATATAGCCATACCCTTCTTGATGAGATCCTATTTTAGAGCTTATGAATATCACACTTCATCAATATTCTTCAACTTATCATGATTTCACCCGCCTTACAATCGTGACTTAGCTTGGGCATCCACAGTATCAAAGAAACAGAAAAAGTATTGAAAATAAGCAGGTATTTTACATGGATCTAGGCGCATAGTTGGCAAACCGCCGAAAAATCAAAATTAAGTAATTTTCGGATAAAATAAAATCTGATAATGAAACCAGTCATTAATATTGATTAAGTGGAATGAGGGTTTTAGTAGTTAAGCTTTTCATCGTCGTCATAGCACATACTGAAGCACATAATAATAATAAGACTATACAATACCAAGATGGTGCATGAGGGACCGACATGCGCTTCTATAGCGGGGTTTTTCGTGACGCCCCGTAGACAGTGGGTCTTTTTCACCAATGTTTCGTCGGCCCGCTGCCTACTCGGCTTGGTCTGTTTAGCTCGTTTTTACAGCTAAGTAAGTCCCAGAACCCTGGAGAAATACAAAGGAGCAGAATATACATACTTTTCGGTACCCTCGCAAACGGTAATACCCAAAAAGACAATAATAAATTGCATGACATGCAAATGTTCTCCAAGAGTAGATCTACTGCTCTTCGCCAAAGACCTTGTGGGCTGCCAAAGGCATTAACGAACAGCCGGAGCAGAGCAGAGTACGAATAATTAGTGGTCAAATTGTTCTTATCAGTTAAGCAAAGCATTCAAGGAAATGTTTGTTATTATTGTTGTTGTTGAAATACAACAAAACTTTTTGTTTCTAATGTTAAGAGAATAAAATGATCTTTCAGAGAAAAATAAGTTCGCATGTGTTATCTACATTAGTATTGAAAATATCGTCTTTTAAACATTGCATACCCCCTCGGAGAACTACCATCTTGCCGCGATGAGGGGGCCTAGTAAGCGTAAGGAACCCAAGAGCTTTACCGGCGGTAGCGTAATGCTGCCAGAAGGGCCACCCAAGCCGGGCAGGTCTTGGGGGAGCGCCGAAGCTAAAAGTAGTTCACCCTGGCGGTAGGGATAAAACGCATCCGTTATGGGGGAATGTCCAGTAACGAAGAACCAGTTAAGGTGCAGGGAGTCGGAGACCCAGTACCGGCGGTGATTGGGGGTGCGAGCGCAGGCCCCCCGGCGTCGATATCCTGTGACTGCAGGAAACCCGAGATGGCAGTGGAGTGCTTGGCTGCCAAATCGTGTAATGCCACAAGCAACAGAAGGATCCGCAGACAGAAAGGGACGATAGAGGATCTGGAACCGGGAACCACAGACGGAAGCTTCGTCTTCACTGGTCCCTCAGTGTCAGAGGCAGAGTTGGCTACCGCCTTCTCTCGACTCGGATACAATGAGGAGCCGCAGAAGGCGGAGCCACAAGTCACGGCTCCCAATATCCAGGTCGACTCGGGTCCACTACCTGTGACGGATGAGAAGACGGAGGCTGAGACCCTACGCAAACGGCTGTCGGGATACAGGGCATCGGCAAAATACCTCCGTGGTATTAACCAAAGACCCCCCGATACGCTGACGGCGAGGGAAAGGAGCCTCAAGAAGAAGCACGAGCAAAACGTGCGGAGGTACGAGCGGCTTAACGGAGTCGCTCCTACCAACGGAGACAAAGCCCCCCCAAGCGCACACGCGGCGGTGACTGAGGACCCCAAACCGTCGACTTCAGCGTCAGCATCAGCTGGCACGAAGACGAAGGTGGACCAACCCTCAAAGTCATCGCCTGCGAACGCGCGAGGGAGAAAGGGGAAAAAGTTGTCCGGGAAGCAGAGGGGGAAGACCACACCTCTGACGCAGAACACGGCGAGTGCCAAGGCACCACCAACGCCCTCTGTACAGAAGGCACCGGTGGAACCGACTGGTCGAGAGCCAAGGTTCAAGCGACAGAGAACGGACGACTCCACAAAAGCTTCCGAGTCGAAGAAGGCGAAACCAGAGGACATTCTGGCCAGCCTAGGATCGCCGGCCGAGCTGCAGGTAGCCATCATCGACCAAAGTTACCCAGAGGGGAAGATATCGGACGTAAATTGGCTGAAGGCAGGATCGGAGATCCTGACCGCCATGAAGGATGCCATTGTGCGCGCAGATAACCCGTTTGTCTGCGAGTTCAAGGGTATCAAGTGGTATAAGGGAGCCAAAGCAGTGGCCTGTGGCAATGCAGAAACTCTTGAGTTTCTCAAAACCACGGTCCAGGGTTTTGGTGAACTTTGGCCAGGAGCGGCACTCCGCGTGGTCCCGACGGATCAGATTCCCAGGAGAACGATCATGAAGGTGTGGATTCCTCCCCCGATTAAGGCGGATGAGGACACACTCGTTCTGATCAAGGCACAGAACCGGATCCTGGAGACATCGGACTGGACCATCACAAGAGCGATAGCGCGAGACAAGGGGAACGGCAAGGAACTCTGGATCAGCATTGGTCAAGAAAGCCTGGCCAAACTCCTTGCAACGGACTGCCGCATATCCTTTGGTATGGGCACCCTGGCGGTAGCAGTACCGCGACACCCCAGGTCCGCTGAACAGCATGAAGGTGGTGCAGATTAATCTGCATCACTCAAGTGTACCATCGGCGGACCTGCTGCGGTTTATGGAGGAGAAGGCGGTGGACGTGGCCCTCATCCAAGAGCCCTGGATCGTAAGTGAAAGGGTTCGGGGACTGAACGGTCGCGGATACCGCCTTCTCACGCCACACGCCGCGGGTAAGCCAAGAACCTGTATCGTGGTAAGGAACGAGCTTAATGTTCTGTTTTCTTCCAGGTACAGCACTCCGGACCTAACGGTGGCACTATGTGAGAGGGAGGACGGGAAAAACCTATACCTAGCCTCTGCATACCTGCCGTACGAAGAGGAAGACCCACCCTCGGAGGATGTCAGGGCCCTGATTCACCAAGCGCGGAGGGAGGGACTTGATATTGTCTTAGGCTGTGACGCGAATGCCCATCACTCCCTCTGGGGAAGTACGGGCACAAATTCTAGAGGAGAGTCGCTGTTCGAGTACATTCTGTCCACAAATCTTGTTGTGTGCAACCGGGGAGACCACCCCACCTTCCGCAACAGGAACCGTGCAGAGGTTATAGATTTAACACTGGCCTCGAATAGCGACTCCCTTACCATCGATGACTGGCACGTGTCCAGTGAGTGTTCCTTTTCGGACCACTACAGGATAGTGTACAGCATCAAATGGAACAAGGAGAGGCCCAAGGCCTACCGCAATCCCAAGCGGACAGACTGGAACCGCTTCTCCGCAACCGTACAGAAGGTTCTGCCTAACCCACCGGAAGGGGACATAATTCAAACGGAAGCACTAGAGAAAGCTACGCAGACCGTCACTAATGCTCTACAGATGGCGTTTCTCAAATCCTGCCCGATCAGCCGACCCCCAAAGTCCAATCACAACCCGTGGTGGACACGGGAGTTGAGCGAAGTCAGAAAGGAATCGAGGAAACTCTTCAATAAAGCAAAAGTGACAAACACACAGGAAAGTTGGGACGAGTATCGCCGCAGCGTCAATACCTACAAAAACACCTGTAGGAGGGCGAAAAGGGAATCATGGGCAGCCTTCTGCGATGCCATAGATGGTACCACTGAGGCCTCAAGGCTTCGACGCGTACTGTCGAAGGCACCCACCACACCAGGCCTGCTCCGCAGCCAGGACGGTACCTTCGCAGAGAGCAGCCAAGAATCCCTGGAGCTCCTCATGAGTACTCACTTCCCAGGTTGCTCAGATGTCACCGGTGACGAATCCAACGCCACCAACGACACTGAGGATCATCCAGGAGAGGAAATCGAGGATCTCATACGAAATATAATGGCACCAGACAAGATTATCTGGGCCATTAAATCATTCAGTCCCTACAAGTCACCGGGACCGGATGATATCCGACCAGCCATGCTGCAAGCAACTTGCCTGCACC